TTGTCGGAACGCCGCCAAAATTTCCCCCTGTTGGGTCCCATTCGGGAGCCTTCCAGCTGCCGACAATGAAGCGCCCCACAGGGTCTGCTGCAGGCGATTCCACGGTCGATGCCAAGGACCGCTCTATCGCCATTCAAGAGGCTATCTGCGTGCGTGCCCGTGCATGTGTTTCCCTTGCCTGTATCAGCTCCACCTACGTTCCCAGTGGGGATGTTCGCATGTGCCCCCGCGCTCGTTTCGGCACACCCTCAGCCCCCTCCTTGCACTGCCCCGTAGTTTAGTTCCTCCCGCGGCGCGCAGTACGCGTGAAGCCTGCTGCCAGCCCGGTCAGCGAACCCCCACGTGCTCCCACCGAGGACTGCGAGTTCATCATGCTCGCGGGCCTGCCGGCGTGCGGCAAGACATACTGGGCGCAGAAGCACATGGAGGCCCTTCTGTCGCCAAACACCTTTTTTCTGCTCCTGCTTCTGCTTCTGCTCATCTTGTTGCTCTAGGCCTCCCAAATGGGGCCCGAGTAGATGGGGTCGGAGGATCGCGCCGTATCGCCCGACGCGTCGGCGATGTAGCTCGATGTGGAGCTCGATTTTCTCTACGCCGATGTCGCCGATGCATCGCCGACGTCGCCGATACATCGGTGGTGCATCGATGATACAACGACGATGTGGCTCGATCCTCCGACCCCATCTACTCCGACCCTGTCCGAGAGGCCTCTAGTTGTGTACCCGTTTAAACCGCTGCTTCGAGCAGAGCGCCACGCAAGCGAGCGATGATGCCGTGTGCGTTGTGTGTTGCCGTGGGCAGTGAGGGGTTTTGGACTGCTCTGGGGTCCCCGCAGCCAGCGGGCGAGTCAGGCTGGCAGGGGTGCCGCCCGCAGTGAGCTTGGCGCTCTGTTCTTACTCCCACGTATTGTTTTCACAAGCAAGAGTGCTCGAGGATCGAGGATCGAGGATGCGACGAGGCGGAGGATGGGAGGAGCATCGAGGATCGGTGCTCTGGTCCCAGCTCTGTCCACGTCCTTAGCGTGAGCTGGTGCTCGGACCTCTTCTGGCCGAGGGCTGCTCCGCACAAGACCCCGTGTGCGCCTGGTGCGCCTGGCACTCTTCACTCCGCCACTCTCTCGAGTCAAAACAGTACTACCTCTTCCCTCTCTTCGCCCCTTTTCCTGGGGGTGTGGACGAAAGGGGCCGCGGTGGCCAGCCGGTCGTGCGCGTGGGTGTCCGAGCAGAAGGGAACGGGACAGAGGGAGAGGCAGGAAACACACTTTTGGGGTACGTAGAGAATGGGGAAGGCTTCAAGAATTGGGAGCGGAGCAGTTGCTTGAACTGTAGGCCCAGGTGATGGGAAGCAGGTAATGCGCAGGGACGAGCCCCGATATCGAGCAGGACGACGGCTGTGGCTACACCTTGGCCGCAGGCAAACCCGCTGAAGAATTACGTCCTTCTTGGTACCAACGCTGTCATCGACCAGATGAAGGCGAACCGCGGTTTGAGAAGGAGAGGCTTGTGATTTTGCTTCTAAGAGGAGGGCGAGGAGCAGGATCGCGAAGCAGGAGGGTGAGGATGAGAATTAGGAGAGCGAGGATCAGGAGAGTCAGGAACATGAGGCCAAATAGGCGCCTTGTCTGTCCACGACCAAGTTTGGGCCCAAAATGCCACAAGAAGCCATCGAGAGGCCTGCTCCTCCTCGTCCTCCTCCTCCTCCTCCTCCTCCTCCTCGAAGCCAGCGCGTCGGCTGAACGGTAGGTCCCGACAGGCTTCTACCATTGACCCTGACCGTGCAGGCATCCAGCCCCTCCCGCTCCCATGCTCACAACCTCCTCCTCCACCTCCCCGAACTCTCCTCCGCCTCCTCCTCCGCCTCCTCCTCCTCCTCCTCCTCCTCCTCCTCCTCCTCCTCCTCATGCTCCCCTTCCTCCCCTCCTCCGCCTCCTCCTCCTCCTCGTCCTCCTCCTCCTCCTCCTCTCTCCTCTTCCTCCTCCTCCTCCTCCTCCTCCTCCTCCTCCTCCTCCTCCTCCTCCTCCTCCTCCTCCTCCTCCTCTCTTCTTGAATTCATCGCCAGATTTGCCGGATTTCCCGGTTCTCGCCTCGGCCTCCTGGGGGAGGCTCGAGGGGCGGTTTCTGCTGAGGCTGTCCCAGGCGAGGGCGCCGCTTTGGAATTCGTCGCTAGATTCGTCAGATTTCCTGGATCTCATTTGAAACGGAACATGGGGGGGCCTCCGAGGGCCTCCTTGGGGAGGCTCTGGGGGCAGTTTTTCGGATGATGTCCCACGCAAGGGCGCTGGTTTGGAATTCGTCGCCAGATTCGCCTGAGGGCCTCCTGGGGGAGGCTCCAGGGGCGGTTTTTGCTGAGGATGTCCCGCGAGAGGGCGCCGGTTTGGAATTCGTCGCCGGGTTGGCCAGATTCGCTGGATTTCGCTGGATTGGCAGGATTTCCTTGAGGTCACCTGCAACGGAAAAGGGGGGTCTTTGAGGGCCTCCTTGGGGAAGCTCCGGGGGCGGTTTTCTCAGGAGAATGTCTCACGCGAGGGCGGCGGTTTGGAATTCGTCGCCAGGTTCGTCTGATTCGCTGGATTTTGTTGGATTCGCGGGATTTCTGGAGCTCGCTTCAAACGGAACGGGCGCCTCCTCTGAGGGCCTCCTGGGGGAGATTCGGGGGCGGTTTTGGCTGAGGATGTCCCACGCGAGGCCGCCTGTTTGGAATTCGTCGCCGGATTCGTCGGATTTCGCCAGATTCGCCGGATTTCCTGGATCTCGCCTGAAACGGACAGGGGGTCTCTAAGGGCCTCCTTGGGGAGGATCCGAGAGCGGTTTTTCTGAGGATATCCCACGCGAGGGCGCCAGTTTGGAAATCGTCGTCGGATTCGCCGGATTTCGCCAGATTCGCCGGCTTTACTGTATCTCGCCTGAAATTGAACAGGGGGGACTCTGAGGACCTCTTTGGGGAGGCCCCAGGGGCAGTTTTTCTGAGGATGTCCCACGCGAGGGCGCCAGTTTGGAATTAGTCGCCGGATTCGCCGGATGACGCCGGATTCGCCGGATTTCCCGGATCTCGCCTGAAACGGAACAGGGGTGCCTATGAGGGCCTCCTTGGGGAAGCTCCGGGATTGTTTTTTCTGAGGATGTCCCACGCGAGGGCGCTGGTTTGGAAATTCGTCGCCAGATTCGCCAGATTCGCCGGATTTCGCCAGATACGCCGGATGTCCCAGAAGTCGCCTGAAATGAAACCGCCCCCACAATTCTGGGGGCGGTTTCCGTGAGGATTTCCCACGCGAGGGCGACGGTCGCCGGATTTGCCGGATTCGCCGGACTTCTCGGATTTTCTCGCGTGAAACGGAACAGGGGGGGCGGTCGACGGGGCCACTGCCTCGCGCGCGGGGGGTCAGGATGACGTGAGTTCCACAGAAACTCCTTCAGATTTCTTTGGGACTACCTTTTTTATCCTTCTCCAAGATCCACCTGTATCGGGGGTGGACAGGCCTCCTACCCTGACACGTCGATTAGTGAATTGTCCGTTTTCGGTTCTCGAGAGGGCGCCGGGGCCGTTACTTTCCAGGCTTGCGCCCGCCAGGTTTGGGCCCGAGGTCGTTTTCACCAAACCACGTTTTACTAAAGGGAGGTCTGTCCATCCCCGACTGTAGGAGGACATGCCCGACCTAAAGCATGGGCTGTGTCTGAACGGTCCCGTGGCGCGCGGAGTGCTCCAGGGCCCGAGGGCCTCGGACGACCCTCGGGGCCCCTTGCCTCCAGGACCCGTTGCCTTCGTGCTTCAGGAGGGGAAAAACAAACACAGACACAGTCCATCGTCGATTCCCCAGAACATATGGGAAAATATGGGAAGTGGGGGGGAAGACAGAAACCATACAAAAATGCGAAAATATGGGGAATATTTTTATTTGTGTGTATTTATTTGTGTGTCCTGGGGCCCCTTGAGTGCTGGCCTCGTCCTGCCCCTCGCCCCTCTGCCGGACCTGCAGGGAGCGCCCCCGAGCCCCTATGACAGTCATCTCGGGCTCCTTGGGCAGCAACTCATGGGAGCCTTGGCCCCGAAACTGGATCCTCAGAGTGCACAGGCGCTCGCCAGCATGTGGCAATCGACGAGAAGGCGCCGATTTGGCGCCGATCTCGATGCAGCGTCGGTTAGCATCGACCAGCGTCGATGCGCAAGTGCTTGCAAGATGACATGGGTCAGGAGGGGAAAAACATGGGTCAGGAGGGGAAAAAACACACAGACACAATTACTCGTCGATCCCCTGGAGAATATGGGAAAACATGGGAAGTGGGGGGGAAGACAGAAACCCAGAAAATACGGGAAAATATAGGGAACCCTGTTATTTGTGTCCATTCGTTTGTGTGCCCCAGGGCCCCTTCAAAGATTGCCTGGGAAGGCCCCTCGAGCAGAGGAGGAGGCCCCTGCGGCCCCCGCGAGGGAGGGGCCTCTGCGAGGAGGGGATGCGTGGCGTGCCTCCGCCGAGGCCCCTCCGCAGATGGCATGGGGGGGGGGCAGGCCTTGTCGGAAGGCGGCGGGGCGTCTTTGGGGCCCTCGCGCCTTCTGAGAAGCCGCCGGTGGCCTCGGCGGAGGCACGCAACGCTGCGGGCCTCCTCGCAGAGGCCCCTCCCGAGGCCCCTCCGCAGATGGCAGGGGAAGGCTCCTCCTCGCAGAGGCCCCTCGATACACAGACACAAGCGCTCCCGGGCGAGGCCCCTGTCCGGCCGCCCTCGCCCCGCACAGCCCCTTCCGCCGGCCCTGCAGTGGGCCTCGGCGTCACCCAGACAGGCTGCTGCTGTTCAGGAGGGGAAAGAACACACAGACACAATTCATCGTCGATTCCCCAGAAAGCATGGGAAAATATGGGAAGTGGGGGGGAAGACAAAAAACCCAGACAGTATGGGAAAATATGGCGAGTCTTTTTATTAGTGTGTATCTATTTGTGTGTCCCAGGGCCCCTTCAGCCATGTGTGCGTCGCCCCCCCCAACGGGGCGGCGCGCGCGCCGAGAACTCTTATAATAGTATCGGCTCCGTGGCGGGCGCTTTCTGGTCGTACCGCTTGGGAAACGATCTAGTACATTTTTTTTTTTTTTTTTTTGTTTTTTTTTGTTTTTTGTTTTGTTTTGTTTTTTGTTTTCTCTCTCTCTCTCTCTATGTATATATGCTCTGGTCGGACGCACGCCTCCGAGGAGCACGCAAAGTACGTACCAGTATGTCCTTGTGAGTCTCGTGGGAGAGCGCCTCCGACGACGGTCGCCTCGGGCTCTCGAGGAGGCAGGGGTGACGCCTCGGGCGGCCCCTTCTTCTGGGCGCGATCGTTCCGGCGACGTGGGCTGACCACCTCGCCGAGCCTGCCCAGGCCCAGGCCCAGGGTCGGTGGACACTCAGAGGAGGGAAAGGTACCCATGCCGCTGCCCTTCGGCCGTTTTCCTTTTTTTGGGGGGCATCCTGGGAGGCCCTCGTCGCCACCGCTGTATTCGACTCGAAATTCTGGTCAGAACGCATCCCAGGAAAGGCCCGGGGGGTATTGGTATCGGTACCCTGTGGTGTCCCATATGCGCGCTCCTGGTCTGGCCAGGGAGGCATCTGCAGCCAAGGCGCTGAAGTTAGAACCTCTTTGGGCTCAGGACTCCTCCTCCTCCTGCTCCTTCTTCTGCTCCTCCTCCTCCTCCTCCTCCTGCTCCTTCTTCTGCTCCTCCTCCTCCTCCTCCTCCTCCTCCTCCTCCTCCTCCTCCTCCTCCTCCCCCTCCCCCTCCCCCTCCCCCTCCCTCGTCCCCCTCCTCCTCCTCCTCCTCCTCCTCCTCCTCCTCCTCCTCCCTTTCCTCCTCGTCCCCCCTCCTCCTCCGAGGTTTTGTTGCTCGCTCCTGTCCTTGGATCCGAGGTCGTGGCCGAGGCGGCCCGTGGCCCTGGAAAACCCCGTCGTTCTCCCTGTCCAGCGCTCCTCGACAGTGGAGGCCCATGCCAAGAAACACCCTGCTCGCCTCCAGGGTGCCCTGGGTATCTTGGATATTCGATGGCCTCGCGATGCAAAGCTCGGGGGTGGACAGACCTCCTACCCTGACACGTCGATGAAGGAGTTGCCCGTTTTCGGTTCGCGAGGGGGCGTCGCGGCCGTAATTTTTGCGGGTCCAGGTCCGTCGGTTTCGGCCCCAGGCCGTTTGCACTAAAGGGAGGTTTACTCAAGGGAGGTTTGTCCACCGCCGAGAAGCGTGACGCTCCCACACCAGAAGCCGATGGACGTCCTGGGGTCTCAGGCCAGGAGGAGGAGGAGGAGGAGGAGGAGTAGGAGGAGGAGGAGGAGGAGGAGGAGGAGGAGGAGGAGGATCGGGGGGGGGAGGGGATGAGGAGGAGGAGTGAAGGAGAGGAGGAGGACGGCGGAGGAGGAGGAGGAGGAGGTGGGCTTCTCGTGGAGAAGGTCTCCTGTGGTCGGGCCTCCCCACTGCATGGTATAGCACCGTGGCCGCGTGCCGATCCTGGGGCCCAGGAGCGGGCCGGGCCGGGGTCGGCGAGGGTGACTACAGACTTTCTCCTCGAGCACCGTGGCGCGCCCATCCTTCTCCTCCTCCTCATCCTCCTCCTCCTCCCACCTTTCTCCTCCTCCTCCTGCTCACTTCTCTTCTAACTTCTCACTTTCCTCCTCCTCCTTCCTCCTCTCCTCCTCCTCCTCCTCCTCCTCCTCCTCCTCCTCCCCCCTGGTGGTGCCCCTTCAGGGAAGCAGAGCTCACCCAGTCGCCTAGCAGTTGAGCGACGCAGAACAACTGGGAAGTCTTCGCCGGCATTGGCGCGTGAGCTGCCCGCGTGAGGTCGGTCGCGCGTAAGCGCCCTCGTCTCCACTGCAGCGTGCCACGCTGGCGGCCCGTGTAAGCCGCCGCGTGAGGTCGCTATGCCATCCCGCGTAAGACCCTTTTCTGTTCGCCGCCCAATTGAAGACAGCACACCTCCCCAGGCAGGACCCCCACTCCCGACCTGGTGATCTAAGGGGTCCTGGCTGGGGTTGAAGATGTCTTTGTTGGGGTCTTGGGGGCCAAAATGCCACCCTCACTTCTGGCCAGTACCTCTGGATCACCAGGTTGGGATTGGGTGTCCTGGCTAGGGGTGGGGTGGGTTGCGCTGTCCTCAGCAGTGAGCGGACGACCAGTCACGGAGGCGCACGCAACGTGGTCAGCGCAAACGGGGGCCTGACTGGCTGACTCTGTCTTGGGAGCCACCTGGGCCGGAGCCCCTCTCCCCTCCCTCCGCTGACCCGTGCGCGGGAGCTAGTACGCCGCCAGCCTGGTGACGTGGCTCTGGCTGGCCCAGAACAGCGCTGGCCCGGGTCAGCGCGGCCCCGACCCCTGTGTCCCTGAGTGGGAGCAGCGCTCACCCGATCGCCCGGCAATGCACGGACGATCAACAGGCAGCTCTGGCATACGTGCCGATGCTTGTGCAATGCCCAGCGGTTGGAACGTGCATGCTCGACCTCGTGGGCGCAAAGCATACCCATATCCCTGGGCCGCGACCCCGCTGATGCGGGGCGTATTTTCGCGGATGCCCCGCGCGGAACGTGTCAGTGCGGCTGCGTGTCCGCGGGACCTCGCCAACCCAGACCGCACGGGTGCGGACACGGAGATGCTCGCCGCTCGTGACGAACCCTCGCCCGCTGCGGGCGAGCCCGCCCGGTGCAGCTCCCCTCAGGTGATGCTCTTCGTCGTCGTCGCCCTCCCTGCGAGATGCTCTCCGTCGTCGTCGCCGCCGCCGCCGTCGCCGCCGCCGCCGTCGTCGTCGTCGTCGTCGTCGCCGCCGCCGTCGTCGTCGTCGTCGTCGCCGCCGCCGCCGTCGTCGTCGTCGTCGTCGTCGTCGTCGTCGTCGTCGTCGTCGTCGTCGTCGTCGTCGTCGTCATCGTCGTCGTCGTCGTCGTCGTCGTCGTCGTCGTGGTGTGATGCCCTTCGTCTTCGTCGTCGCCTGCGTCCTTCCACGCTCATGGACCACCCGGGGATCCACAGTGCATCCCGGGCTCCGGCCCGACCCGCCGTGCTCTCGTGGGGCCGCCTTCCTGGCCGCGTGCTGGCGCCTCGCCTTGCCCCCCGCGCGGTGGGCGTGGTGCGCGGACGAGGACGTGCGCGCCGCTCGTGGCGGGCGCCGCCCGCTGCGGGCGGCTCTCCGCGCGGCGCCGGCCCCCCGCAGGTGATGGGCGTGGGTCGGCAGAGGAACTACGCGGACCGCTGGCAGGAGCTGATCTCCCAGGCGCCGGCCGGCGGGAGG